AATACCTCCCTAGGGAGGATGAGGGCCTCCCTGGGGGATATCCAGAGTCTGTCATTTCATTGAGGTCAGGGCCTAGCCTCCCCCCAAATAGTTCAGGCTGTGAGAGGATCCCTCAATGTGGGATGGGAACCCAAAGACCATTTGTATATCAGGGATAAATATTGATCTACTACCCAAGGCTCCATAGATTGCCTAGGCCTCCTCACAGACACCTACATTCATGGGGCCTGGATCAATCCCGTGCTAGCCTCTCATTCATCAGTCTGGGGTGAAAGAGCTTCCTTTTGTTAACCTCAGCAGTTTCTATGGATTTCACCAGCCTAGTCTTGACCCCATTGCTCATCGCTCCTCTCTCTTTGTCACTGGGTTCTGGGAGTTCAGTTCAGTGGTTAGCCATGGGAGTCTGCCTCTGCTCCCATCAAACATTGAATGAAGGTTCTAGGATGGCAAATAAGGTAGTCATGAGACTCATTATCAGGGAAGGGCATTTAAGGTAGTCTCTCCACTATTTCTTCGCTTGCCAGTTGGGGTCATCCTTGTAGATCCCTGAGTATCTCACTTTTTCCAGATCACTCCTCAAACCTATAATGACTCCTTCTATTATGTTATCTCTCATGCTGTTCTCCTCTATCCTTCCTCTGACTCAAACTTGGTGCTCCTTCATGTCCTCCTCTCTCCTCCTCTTCTCTCCCTCTCTTTTCCCCAGCTCCCTCTTGCCTCCCCTCCCATGCTCCCACTCTGCTGAGGAGATCTTTCCTCATTCCTGTTCTCTGGAGTACCATGCATACATCTCTTAGGGTCCATCCTGGTTCCCAAACTCTCTGGCAGTGGGATTGTAGGCTGGCCCTCCCCTGTTCCATGTCTAAAATCCATGAATGAGTTTGTATTTTTTATTTAAATTAGAAACAAGGTTTCTTCACATTTCACTCCCAGTTCCCTCTCCCTCTCTCTCTCTCCGTTTCCTCCTTCCACACCCTCCCACCACCTCCTAGACACCCACTCAATACCCACTCCCTTTCCCAGGGAGGATGTGGACCTCCATGGAAGATATCCATAGTCTGTCATTTCATTCAGGGCAGGGGCTAGGCCCTCCCCCAATAGTACAGGCTGAGACAGCATCCCTCATTGTGGGATAGGAACCCAAAGTCCATTTGCATGCCAGGTATATACTGATCTAGTACCCAAGGCCACATAGATTGCCTGGGCCTGCTCACTGACACCACATTCAGGGGACCTGGATCAGTCCCATGCTGGTTTCTCAGCCATCAATCTGGTATCCAAAAACTCCCACTTGTTCAGGTCAGCTGATTCTGCGGGTTAAACAAGCCCATTCTTGACCCATTTGCTCATCAGTCCTCCCTCTGTCACTGACTTCCAGGAGTTAAGTTCAGTGTTTTGCTGTGGGTGTCTATCTCTGATTCTATCAGTCATTGGTTGAAGGTTTTAGGATGGCATGCAAGGAAGTAGTCAAACTCATTATCAGGGAGGGACATTTAAGTTATTCTCTTTAATATTGCTTAGTTTATCAGTTGGTGTCATCCTTGTAGAGCTCTGACTATCTCACTAGTGGCAGATCTCTCCTCAAACCTCTAATGACTCCCTCTATTACGGTGTCTCTTATACTGCTCTCCTCTATTCTTCACCCATCTCAAACTTCCTGTATCCTCATGTGCTTCTCTCACCTCCTATTCTCCCCCTCTCTTTTTGCAGCTCCTTCTTACCTTCCCCCATGCTCCCAAACTGCTCAGGAGATCTTACCTCATTTCCCTTCTCTGGGGTACCATACATGTCTCTCTGAGGGTCCTTCCTGTCTACCAGACTCTCTGACAGTGGGATTGTAGGCTGGCACTCCCCTGTTCTATTTCTAAAATCCATATATGAATGAGTACATATCATGCTTGTCTTTATGTGACTGGGTTACTGTTGGGGCCTAGCCCCCATATGGTATCTGAGTTGTTTGTCAGCTGATAGCCACAGGTGGGTGAATCCTGTTTTGTAGCCGTGGCTTACTAGCCCCGCATTGCCCCACTGACATCAACATCTAGCAGGAGGAAAACATGCTCTCTTCCACCTGGGGTTTTTCCACTGTTGTAAGCCTATATATACTACTGCTCCCTCCTACAAGAGAGAGACCTCTTAGCACTTGTAAAATAAAGACACACAAACACACATACACACACACACACACACACACACACTTGGCAATAAAGGCAGCACAGGCATTTTCTTAGTACAAACAGCTGGACATCTGGTCTTTCTTTTCCTGATATCTTGGACTTGCTTGTGGTGTGGTTGCCGCAATTGGATGTCCCACTCAGGAGAGGACAGACTCAAGAAAGAAAAGATTTAAAAACAGGCATCTCAACTTCTAACAGTAAAATTGAATGGTAAAATCCCCAGAATTTTGCTTGAGAAATCACCTTCTAAGGAGGTATATTAAATTAATGTCCAGCCTTTCGCTTGATCCATTGAGGTCAGAAAAGTAAGAAAAACTGAGAGATTACCCTCAAAAGCTGGCCAGCAAGTAAGGCTATGAGGGCGTATGGGGAAAAGGGCACTAAATTGGGGATACCAGATTAAATCTCCAGGCCTTAACCTGACACCATGGTTGGGAAAGAAAGGGGAACCTGACTGGTCGCCCTCAGTTGGAGGGTGTATTGGATTAAATCTCTAGGTCTTTGCCTAATACAAAGCTCAGGAAAGAAAGGGGAACCTGAAAGGTTGCCGTCAGTTGGAAGGTGGATTGAGTAAATCTTTTCGCTTTTGCCTGAGGGATCATTCTCAGGTGGAGGATGGATAAAAATAGGTAAATTGAAAATCAGTAACAGTTAGTAAATGAGGTACTGGTATTAAGTGAAAGAAAAGAAAAAGTTAAAAGTATGGAGTAAAAAATACACAGAGATCTGGACACTGTGTGCTGTTGTGTTGTCTTTAAACTGTTTAATAGCTAAGAAATGAACAAAAACTGTTAAAAGATATTGGATTTTCAGTGGTGCTGAAATAATCCCACTTACATATTTTGAAAATGCTTTGACTTCTAAATTTATCTATAAGGACAGGTTACTTGGAAAAAGAATTTCTTCTTTTGCTTCCACAGAAAAAAAAGCTGTGGGTTAGTTCCAGAATGTTATGGTTTGATAAAGCAAGACCACCTGAAGCAGTGGCCCAGGTGATCCAATATCTAAAACAGCTGAGATGATGAAGCCTTTCAGATGACAAAAACAAGGATTTCAACAGGTTTCTGCTTTTTTTGTCATAATCCCCCTGGTATTTCACTGCCCTTTAACAGCAGAAAGTAGTTTTGAAAGGATGACACCCACATTCCCAAATATTGACTATAAATGTTTGTTTGCATCATTCATACATGGTTGGTTATTATTACAATTTTAAGGTCAATTTTGTGAGTCACCTATAAAAACTTTTTAGAAGGAGTGGGTATGGCTGTAGCCCCTGAGAAAAATAGCAAAAGCTTACAACATGGACTGAGAGCCAAAGAAATCAGTATAAAAGATTCTATAGAGTAACAAACAGTTCAAACAAAATTTCAAAATATAGGCAGTGGTGGTACATGCCTTTAATCCCAGCATGCGGGAGGCAGAGGCAGGTGGATCTCTCTGAGTTCGAGGCCAGGCTGTTCTGACAGACTCCAAAACAGTACAGAGAAACCCTGTCTCATAAAACCAAAAATTTAAAAAATAAAAAAGGGGGAGATGTTGGGGCCTCGCCCCCACAGAGTCTCTTAGTTGTTTGTCAGCTGATAGGCACAGGTGCATCCTGTTTTCTAGTCCTGGCTTACTGCCCCTGCATTGCCCCACTGACATCAACATCTAGCAGAAGGAAAACACGTTCTCTTCCACCTGGGGTTTTTCCATTGTTGTAAGCCTATATATAATACTGCTCCCTCCTACAAGAGAGAGACCTCTTAACACTTACAAAATAAAGACATACACAGACATTCTCCTGGCAATAAAGGCAACACATGCATTTTCTTAGTACAAACAGCTGAACATTTATTCTTTCTTTTCCTGATGTCTTGGACTTGCTTGTGGCATGGGAGCCACAGCAGGTTACCTCACTCAGGATGGTTTCTTCTAGTGCTGTCCATTTGACTGCAAATTTCAAGATTTAATTGTTTTTTTCTGTGAATAGTACTCCATTGTGTATATGTACTACATTTTCTCTATCCACTCTTCAGTTGAATGACATCTAGTTTACCTTCAGGTTGTGGCTATTACAGACATCCTTGTTGTATGAATGTGCATCTTTTGGATATATGGCTAAGAGTCGAATTGCTAGGCATTGTGGTAGACTGATTCTCATTTTGCCGAGGAATCTCCATACTGATTTCCAAAGAGGCTGTACGAGTTAACACTCCCAGCAGCAGGGAGGAGTTTTCACATTTCTCCACATCTTCTCCAGTATAAACTGTCATTGGTATTTTGGATTTTAGCCATTCTGACAGGAGTAAGATAGTGTAATAGTGGTTTGGCTGCATATTTGTTGGTACACCATCAGAGTACAATGCCTCATGGGCTAGAAGAAGGGAAGATCTAAGATACCCTGAGCCTGAAGTTAGGAAACATTGATAGCAAGCATTATGTATGCTGGAAATCAAACCTAGGTCCTATGTAAGAATTGCTAGTAATCTTAATAGCTGAGATATCTCACCAAATTGCTTGCTCAGCATTTTAAAGTTAAAATTAGCTAAAAAGTTCCTTTTGAAGTTAACTCTAATTTGGAGTGTGTTCAGGGCTACAAACCTGTTGTATGAATGTTACCATACCTTGCTTTCTCTGGAAAATTCATTAGACACATTCCTTTTTGTAATGCTAGTCATGGGGTAGAGAAGACATTTAGGAAAAAAACAGTTTCTCTGATCCCTACATAAAAACTTCACATTGGCCTTTATCTCCAGGCAAAGAGACAAACTGTCAACAGCTGGAGACAGCATAATAATAGTCAGGGCAGTCTGTGCTCTCACTTCTGTTTCCCTTGCTGGTTTATGTCATGGCTTGAATCACTGTGGGAGGATAATTATTACCCTGTTGACAGTAATAAGTTCCTACATCTTCAGTCTGCATGCCACTGATCTTGAGAGAATACTGTGTGCCAGATCCACTGCCACTGAACCTGGATGGGACCCCATCTTCCAATCTGTTTGCATAATAGATGAGGAGCTTAGGAGGTTCCCCTGGTTTCTGCTGATGCCATGCTAAATAACTGTTAATGTTTTGACTTGACTGGCATGTGATGGTGACAGTTTCTCCCACAGATGCAGAAAGCAACCCTGGAGACTGGGTCATCTGGATATCACATCTGGCACCTAAGATTGGAAAGTTAAGAACAAATTTTCATAAAATTAACTCTCTTAAATGAGTACTTTCCCAGAGATCTGTCAAATCTGGCCACACTCAGCTGCATAAATTTCCAGTTCTGTCTTTCTTACCTATAAGACAGAGCAGCACCAACCCTAGGAGCTGAGTGGGGGTCCTCATGTATGTCCTGAAACTTGTGTGATGCTGACTCCAGCTCAAGGTTCAGTCTGACTTTGAGAAGTACTCAGGGCAGTGGGCTTGGCTTTGGGCACATGCAAATCAGCAATGACTCATTGGTTTATAATTGATTTAAGGAGTCACTTATTCATTAAGGCCTATGTTTCACGTATGTGTCAGATCTCAGGCAGTGCAGGTTTTTTTTTGTAGAAAATGGGTGCCTCTATGGAAAAGAAAGGACAGAACCAGTCTGTGATTTGCACCTTCTTTTTATTTCTGTGATACTCAGTGTAGAATTTTCTTGTTATTTTCCCTCCTTGACAGGGAATGTGACATATGGTACATTCTAGAGAGTACATAAATATTTACAGGTCCTTTAATAAGTAGCAGTAAATGTTATTGATACCATGCAGCATATTCTGTTTTATCTTATTTGAGAGACTGAATTGTAATTAAATCTTTTCACAGTTCCTTTTCCAATCTCCAAATCCTCTCATATATTCCACCCACTCTCTTTAAATTCATGGTCACTTCTTTTACTGTTATTTTGTGCATATATGTAATTGTATACACAAATGTATTTTAAATATAAACTGTTGAGAACATGTAATATACCAGTATGTATGTTTTCAATGGTGACATTTTGGCCTTAGGCAATCCATTATGTGCCCTTCCCTGGGAAAAACACCTCTTCTACATCCAGTTTTACTCAGTTGTCTGCAGTGCTGTAGAATTGAAGCCTCATGGAATTTTCCATTATCCAGTTTGCCATGCTTGTTCGTATTCTACTTCTTGAACTCATATGCTGTCTGTAATGTTGATGAGATTTTGTAGGTATAAATTCTGATATCAGGAGAAACACAGTCTTACAGAAAATTCCCTAATCCTATGGAGCTTACTATCTTTCCACCCACTTTTTCCAAACTATTCCATGAGTCTTGAGGATATGGGAGTGTTTAGTAGGTGCATCCATGAGATTGAGCTCTGTAGCTAAACATGGATGTCAGCAGGAATCATTCATGCTAACAATGATTACCAGAATAGTAACAGAATAACATTGGGAAGTATGTTTGTAAAGAACTTGAGGATCTCATTTAACTAACCAATCTTTCCTGATAAACAGTCACATTTTACTCTATTTATGATAGCTCAGCTACTCAAGAACTACTTCCATCTAGTCCAAACAAGGGTACTGGTCCTTTTTTATTTCATCTGTTCATGGAAGCTTTCTTCTTAGATTTGTCTTTGACTAAATTTATTTCCAATGTTCTTGTGAGGTTTCTGATTATTGGATGTGCTTTCCATTCTCCCTTATCAAAGTTACTTTCTTTATTTCAGAAGTATCACCCATGTCTTGAATGTACAGTGTTTTCAAACTTTACATATGCTATAGGAACCACAGCACTTCCAGATACTAAGAGGATATATCTCTAAGTTTAGATATAGGGCAGAGGGACACAAAGAGTGTGGTGAGAGAAGCATGTAAAAAAAGTAGAGGCAGAAACTACACATGGGGATTTATAATCATAGTGGGAGTAAGGGTTTGATGGACTTAGTTTGAGTTTCTTTGAAGAGTTGAAGGGAAAGAGTTTTTCATGTACAGGTAATATGTAGGAGGTAGAGATTAGGGAGGATTGCCACACCAAATCCAGTAGATTCTGTGGGACAAGTTTCAAAGACTGAGGTGATAATTTCAAAGGAAAGAGGTCTCCTGGAAACAGTTGTGAAACTCTAGGCTGCAGACAAATATTGAGCTGTAGTTCTCATGGAAATCTCTGTTCTTCTATTGTTTTCTCATATTAACATAATATTCCTGAAAGGCTATGCTGACATCACAAACAAAAGATATAAATAAGAACTGTCCCCTGATACATGGTCACTGAACATGACCTAGTCTCCAGTAAAACCACCATTTTTTGAATCATTCATGTCATTCACAAAATTAAATAGTAATAATGATAAAAACTTCCCTAAAAATAAAGTTTCATATGGCTATACATGTGTGATTGGGAGTAGTTTTAATGATTTATAAGGAAAGCTTTTTAATAAGAAAAAGTAAAACAAAAAGAGTCCAGTATTTCAAAGACTCACAAAATGTAGGTAACAGATCTCAATTATGAACTAGGTAATAGATGTCAGAAAATAACTGACCATAAAAATTTGTTAACTTGATCTTAGAAACAGACAGTTAGCTGTGGTTAGCCATGAATGATTTTCTGATCTATTGTTGGATAAATTGTGGGTTTGTGTCTAGTAATGATGATGTCATTTGAATATTGCTTCACTGAACATGACCCCTGACATGATATATGTTATCACTATTAAAAGCCTTGCTTAAGAACTGCAAAATACACTCAGATTCAAACTGCCTCTGTGTTTGTTTCTTTTTGTCACCGCCAAATCCCTATCCACCTAGTCTTTGAAAATCCTTATCCCAGAGACCCTCATACCAGCTGGGATGGTCCACGACACAGGATGAGAATGACACCCACACATTGAATGAAAATGATGATATATAGGAGAGTCGTCAGAAAAATATTCTTGGAATAATATTGTATCTAGCCACTTCTCTGAAACTGTTTGTCAGATATAATGGTTACCCTTTAGAATTTTATGGTCACTTACATATACTGCCTTATCAGCATATTATCTATAAATTATGATACTTTGACTTCTGTTCTAATTTGTATCCCCTTGATATCCATCAGTTACTATTCTAGATAAAATTTCTAGTACTTTTTAATAGAAATGGAGAAAGTAGTCAACCTTGAATTTTTCCTAATTTTAGTGAAATTATTTTGAACTTATCTCCATTTAATATGGTGTTGGGTGTAGGTATACTCAAAAATTGGATGTGTATTTAGGTATGTTCCTTATGCCATTAATTACTCCAGGACATTTATCATGAAGAGCTCTTGATCTTACTGCCTCATAGCTACATCTCAGGGACTTCTATAATTTTGTGTCATGGGGTTCATGGAGTAAGGGGGAGTAAATGTATAATTATAATCTAGTAGATTTTACAATGCAAACAGCACTTCTTAAACATTATTTCTTGTTAAAAAACAAAAATTAAACATTATCCAGTCTCTGTTTAGAGAATTTGGCTATCCTTGTAACTCCAATTAAGAAAAATCACACACCAATATAAAAAATAAGTGTTACTCTTTTCAGCCATCAAAAAAAGAAAATTAGACTTCTCCATTCCTCAGTTACATAGCCAAGACATGGCATTATCTTTCTTCATGAAATTAAGATGAATGTTTAATATATCTAAGTAATTGGATTTTTGATAATACTTATTTTACATATATAATGTGATCCAATTATCACTGGGAGAAATTTTATAAATTGTTAATACTAGAATCTATATTTTGATGTCCAAAAGATTGGTCAAGTTATGCAGAGATATTCGTCAATGTTTGTTTTATTCTCCAGTAATTTCCTAGATGCCAGAACTTGCCTGATACTGACAATGTGGGATTTCTAATCCAATGTCACCACATTTCCTCAGATGTCGCAGGTTGGATGTTGATGATCTTAGGTGTATGCAGTAACTCCATGGGTGCTTCTCTGTCTTGTTGTCTGTTCATGCCTGCCTACAGGCATCACTGAAAATATATTCCTCCTTTTCTAACTTTGAAACTGATGATAGGGTTGTCCATTCATCATGTATATAGGAAATTATAGAAAGAAATGAGACTCTGACAAGGGAACTTTTAGAAATTCTGACAGTGGATGGGGACTTATTGTACCACTCTTGACCCAGGACTCAGAGTTTCACCAGTTAACCAACAGCATTAATAAATATTGGCACAGGTTTCCACAATAGATCTGCAGATTTCTTGATTCTATTCTATTGCTGTAAAGAGATAACATGACCATGACAATTCTAATAAGGAAAATCAACTAGGTGAGGCTTTCTTACAGTTTACTTCATTGTCCTCATTTTGGGCAGCATGGATGCATACAGGCAGACATTTAGTTAGAAGTTCTACATCTAGATCAGCAAGAGACAAGAATATATGATTATAGAGATACTGGGTCTGTCCTGGACTTTAGAAACCTCAAGGCCCAACCCCAGTGACACACTTCCTCCAACAAGACCACACCTCCAAATTCTTTCAAATAATGTCACTCTATAAGCATTCAAATATATGAACCTATGGGGAACATTCATATCCAAATTGCCACAGTATGTATAATACTAACCAGAAATAAACACAAAACACCAATTTCCATGTATAAGTGTAGTAACTCATAAATGTAAAAACTATTTTATTTATTTCATGTAGGTGAACATTTTGTTTGAGGTGGTGTGTTCCCTGTGTAGTAACTGTTGCTCATAAGCCCATGATCCTTCTTACACAATCTCTCATTTGCTGAAGCTAAGTATCACACCACTAATCCAGCTTCTAAAAAAATCTTTCTTAACAGATCATAACCTATGAGTAAATGCCAATCATTAAATAAATATATAAATTTAAGAATTATTTCCACAATATGTAAATATATTAGTTTTAAAAATCATTCAGTTGACAGTGCAATCTGTATTAATGGGAGCATGCTGTTGCAAATGGAAAGTCTTAGACTTACTGAATGATTTGCTCCATTTGAAAGAGATGCCTGGGACTCAGAGCTCTACAAAACTGTTTAGTTATAATATCTTCAGCTAAGAAAAATTAGTGTCCAACTAGGAAAACTGCATTTTAATATACAATGTACTTGGAACACATGCAGCTCTAGTTTTTTACAAAAGTACATTTGTAAAAGTTTGTAATATATTTTATTTTTATTTTAACGCACCCACACATGTGCTTGCATTCATTTATGTGCACCACTCATGTAAAGGAATGCAGATAGATGAAAAGAAGGCATCGTTTGCTCTGAGGCTAGTGTTGTTGGCCACCATAGGAGTGCTTGAAAAGGAAACTACACCTCTTGAATAACCACCAAGTACTCTTAATCACTGAAGCACCACTCCAGCTATACATTTGCATTTATACTGAAAGATATATTATTTCCATGGTATTATCAATATAAAAACATTTAGTATTTATCAATGTTAGGTATCACATAGGTCAAGCAATTTTTCCACACAATTAATAATTAGTCATATTTATTGAACATCAGTATTACAAAATTATATGTTATCAATTTATAATATGTGTAATTAGTCACATAAACATACCATTGAGAAACACAAGTTTCAGTAGCTCAATTTTTAAATTCATAGAGCAAATTTGTCCTGGAAAACTGAAACATATCTCAATATGCCCAAATCAGACATTTAGTATTACTTTCCTTCCTTCACATAATTTACTCTCTTACTTTTTAAATTAATTATATTTAATAACTTTTTTCTTTAGTCCACATTTATGCATTCATCAACTTTATTCTCTGAACAAAAATCTAATAAGAAAGCTGCTAGAATTAGGACCAAGGAGACTACACACCAAATCATACATCAATGCTTCATCACAACAACATCTGAAAGCATATTTCACACAACATATTTTCTTTCTACTAAGTTCTGTACAACTTATTAATGAAGTATCCATGAGATTAACGGTTGTATAATTGTTATATAATTATTGACATATTCAAGCAGGAGTATGGATAAAGGAGATGACAAGCATGAGGAAGCATGAACACTCACATTGTAGTTCTTCTGAACTTACTTAGGTCACATGGTCAAAGGATCAGATATTTTTTTTCTTTTGAAAGTGGACTCTAGATGGTGAGGAGTTTGCATGTTCCTAGGAATACTTTATCTGACTTCAGGTATTCGGGATTTTGGAAGCTGTATTTTAATAACAAGTTTACTACAATAGTTAAGTGTGTGTGTGTGTGTGTGTGTGTGTGTGTACTCTTGTTACTGTGTTGTCAACCATGTTTTATAAATCTCATTTCTTATCATAAATCTGTTATTATGGAAAGGTTATCTTTTCAGATAAGTCCTGAGAAGCATTTGCTTGTTTTGAATGCTAGGTCTGGAGAAAAGGACAGACATTTAAGACATAGAACATTTTTCTATGAACCCTATATAAAAACATCACATTGGATTTTAACTCTTAGCAAAGAGAAACAATCTGAACAGCTTGAAATACCAGAAAGAAGAATCAGGGCAGCCTGGATTACCACTTCTGCTTCTTTGAATGGTTTATGTCAAGAAGTGAATCACTGTGGGAGGAAAATTCCTGCCCTGTAGGCAGAAGTAAGTTGCAACATCTTCAGAATGCATGCCACTGATCTTGAGAGAATACTGTGTGCCAGATCCACTGCCACTGAACCTGGATGGGACCCCATCTTTCAAGCTGGTTGCTCCATAGATCAGGAGGTTAGGAGGATTGCCTGGTTTTTGTTGATACCATGCTAAACTACTGTAAATGTTCTGACTTGCCCGGCATGTGATGGAGACACTTTCTCCCAGAGATACAGACAGAGAACCTGGAGATTGGGTCATCTGGATGTCACATCTGGCACCTGAGATTGGAAAATTAAGAAAATAACTTCCATACAATTAATCACATTAGATGAGGAGTTTGCCAGAAACCAGACTGATCTGACCACATTTACATGAATAAATTTCCAATGCTATCTTCCTTACCTGTAAGCCAGAATAGCAACAACCCCAGGATCTGAGTGGCAGTCCTCATGACTGTGCTGTGAACTCTGTGAGCCTGACTCAACCACAGGATGTGACCTGACTATAAAAAAGGTTTTATGTCAGTGGACTGTGGTCTAGACACATGCAAATCAACAGTGACTCATTGATTTATTAAGTCAGTGACTTGTTAAATGCATGTGTGTCACTGTATATCAGTTCTTGGTCACTTTTTCATTCATTGTTATTTCATGCATATAGGTATTTGTAAACACATATATATTCCTAATATAATCTGTTGAGGACACATAATGTTACTTATATGTATATTTTCAGGGCTGTCCATTTCACAATAGACAACCAGTCCTGTGCTCTTCCCAGATCCTTCACACAACAGTAACAAGAGGCTTTAAAGATATGAAGTTTACACTGATATTATCTCACAACCAGATTTTTTATGGCATCAAATACAGGGGTGATATGGTCTAGGATCTCATGAGTAAGAAGTTGTGGACAAGCTGGGTGGTGGTGGCACACGCCTTTAATCCCAGAACTCGGGAGACAGAGACAGGCAGATTGCTGTAAATTCGAGGCCAGGCTGGACCGATAGCCTCCAAAACAATACAGAGAAACCCTGTCTCGTAAAAACCAAAAAAAAAAAAAAAGAAGTTGTGGACAGTCTCTCCAAGAGGAAAAAGTAGCACACAGAGAGAAAGGATTTATTTGCATAGATTCATAATATCAATATTCATGATAGAAAAAAATGGACAAAAGAGCATTCTTAATATGAAATGTCAAACCTTACCAGACTTTTCACGTTCTATAATTATCCAAGCTGTAGAAACTGATATAATCTGCATTAGGTAAGATTTCTCTCTGATTCACTGGCAAAATTTTTCCGTTGGTAATTATTTTCTTAACAATGGAAATATTTGTGATGCTAAGTTGTACTCTCCACTCAGGTTACAGTATTATTCATTCCAGCAGCAAATTTTTTCCTTTGGCATTTATTTCTCAACAATGGAAATGTTACTTTCAGGTTATGGGATTATTCAGTCAAGCAGATTTGTCAACTAAGTAATTGGCTACAGTGAGTGACAGCAGAAAAGGAAACAGATGTGACAGTGATCACCCTATCCAGGAAGATGGTTGTCTAGTCCCCCAGCCCTACCACAGGCTTTTCTCTACATGTAATACAAGGAAATGTCAGGATTCTTTATTCTCCACTGACTAAATGTTTTTGAGAAATGTGCCCAGATCACAATCACAGTCATTGGAAATGACTATAAAAAATCCTGGAAACCATCTTTATGAGAAAATAGACACTTGTCCCCAGTGCAACAAGTATTGGTTGTTTAAAGGTTGGTGATCTTGATTAGATAGACATGTGTTTTTACCTCCTCCTGATGGAATAATTTTTCAAGAGAGGATAAGGTTGTTTCTTTGTCCAAATGGAGCCCAGAAAAAGACAAACAATATTTCATGGCAAATTGTTACTTGCTCAGAGAAACTAATTTTCAAAACTTGGGGCTTTTTATTCTTGTTAATGATTATCAGCATCAGGAAGAATTCTACGTAGGTTATCACACATAAATATGTACAGAACACATACAAATGCAATCCACATCTGGCTTCCAATCAGTAAGATATATTGGTCTGGGAAACTACTTAATCATAGACTTGTTGTGACAGTGAAAAACAAACCATGTTGTAGAGCCCCATTATTGAATGTGTGTAGTGGTGCACACATTTTGTCCCAGATATTGGGAGTAGGTAGTAGGGATTCCACTAAGGCCTACTTGAGACTTGAATATTATCATGAAAAATATCTAATTTTGAAAATATTTAGAAATACTGACATGCAAAACAATGTTGGGGTTGAGTTAGAGCCACTGATCTTTCTCCTGCTGGACTAAGTAAGAAGCAGGAAGTTGACAGTTTGCACCAGCAAACCCATCTTGTTGTGTGATCACAGTCTTTGATTACAACCTTTCCTTTTGTAAATTAATTTTCTTAAAAGCCATCTGTCACGTGTCAGGAGTAAATATACAAACATTGGGGTGAAGTTTAGGATGTTCCTGGATCGTAACATGAGGCATGACACTTACTTACAGTATTTAATTCAGTAAAGTTGCAACTCTCTCAGTATCCCTCCTCTACATTGTTACATGCTTTTGGCCCAGAATATCTCTCATATGTTCCTCATAGATAGACTTAGATTGACCTAGTTAGATGACAGGCTCTATTGTGAAGTGTTTGCTATTTATTTGTTTGCTTGTTTGTTTATTTCAAGATGCTGTTCAGTTTTTGATGACTGCAATTCACTTTGGAAAACCCATGGCCCCAGAGCTGCCTCATCCAGATGAGGCAGGTACTCATCTAAGGCTTTGCTGATCCTTCCCAGTTGAACTTGATGGCCCTGAGTCCAAAAATATCTGGGAAAACCTGTGAGGTGTCAATTTGTGATCTGGAACCCAGGTATTTTCAGGGACAAATCCATAGAAGCCACAATCTGCTAAACACACTTATTAATCAGAAATAAACATAAATAATGATTTTGTAACATCAGCATTCTGCCCAAAGCTGATTTTGAGACGAACTTGGCCTTCTACTCTCCTTAGGCATGGCTGTTTTTACAAACAGGAGTAAGTTTCTGGAACAAGCTTCACAGGGACACCATCTTGCAGTAGATATGTTAGCAAAAACTGCTGAGACCAGTCTCAAAGAAGTGGTAAGAGACCTGGGAACTTCTTTCCCAAATTTGTACTTTTTTTACAAACATTCTTGTTTACACATCCATTTCTCAATACCCTCACCCTCCCATCCTCTCATGCTTCCCTTCCCACCAGCCCCCACAACCCACGCACCAACCACTCCCCAGGGATAGTGAGACCCTGCACTGGAGATCATCAAAGTCCATTACACCATGTGAGGGAGGGCCCAGGCCTTCCTTTCCATATCTGTGCTACAGTAGTATCCCTCCAGAAGGAATGGGCTCCCAAAATCCATTTGTGATCTAGGAAAAAAAAACCTGGCTCCACTGTTAGAGTATTCATTGACTGCTTTGGCCTCCTAGATGGTACTCATATTCAGAGTGCTTGGTTTGTTTTGAACCCAAGAGAAAAACTCATGGTCCCCCAAAGAAGGGGAGGGGGCAAAAACCCCTGAGCAAATTGGGAACATGAGGTAGGGGGGGTGGAGAGAGGAGGGGGATGGAAAGGGGAAAAGGAGAGAAGGGGAGAGAGGGGTGGAAGCACAGGACAACTCAGACATGGAAGGAATAAAAGAGGGCAAAAAAGGAGATGCCTTGATAATGGGAGCCAGTGCATGTTTGGAGAGACATCTGGCAGAGAGGAAATGCTAGGAGTTCCACAGGGATAAACCCAACTAAGAATCTTGACAGAGTTGTAGAGACTGCCTTTGATGCATTCCCCTATAATGAGATTGGTTAACCTTGGTTATCATTCCTAGAGCCTTGTCCCAGTATCTGATCAAAGTAGAAACAGACACCCACAGCTGAGCACTGAGCCATACTCCCAGAATCCAGTTGTGAAGAGGGAGGAGAGATGACCAAATGAACCAAGAAGGAACTGGAGATACCCACAGAAACAATTGACTTGACCTAATGAAAGCACGTAGACCTTAGTTCTAAAGCAGGGAAACCAGTATTGGACCAAACTAATTTGTACTTTTCCAGTGGCTTTCAGCAGCTAGACTGATGTCCTCCCCTAGGTAAATGTGTTAGTATTGCCATCTGCTGGATAGATCGGTGATAGACCAGGCAGAGCCTAGAGGAAAAATTGAGGCTGGTTGTAAAGGGAGGCTTTTCCTTGCTAGCCGCTTTGGTTTATCACCAGCCAGTCACCTGGGCTCTGCCACATTGTAGTCCCCAAATAAAACACAAGACGCTGTATCAATTATGAAGCTGTTGCCCTTGCTTGTTTCTTACTGGCTAGCTCTGACTGAAGTAATTACCCCATAATTGTTAATCTAAGTATATCACTTATCGGAGAAGTTTCTGGGCTTCCTACCCCTTGGCGTTACATCTTGACTTCCTGTATTTCTCCTGTGTTTCTCCTACCCAGAGTCCTCCTGGACTCCTAGTCCCACCTATCTTGGTTCCATATTGGCCAACAGTGCTTTATTGACATATACACGGGACTTCCCCCATTAGCTGATAATCAGTGCAAATCCTAGTGTGCTAGGGAAAAGCAAAACAAAACAACAACAGCATCAAAGAGCAAAGACTGGAGTGCTCCTCACTCTGCTTTATCAGAGATAAAAGAAGAATTGTGCAAATACTGCCAGATATATCTATTCCAACACATAAACATGCACCCCAATTCTTGCAATCAAAAAACAAGGAAATATTGACAAGAAGGCATTAAACATAGATGAAAAATCCTGGAAAATATGTTAATTCCTATTAATACATTCTGTGTATACTCATAGATATTACGAGTTAGAGTGGGGATACACAAATAATGTATATCAGAATTATGGGTCAAAAGTTCATTTGACACACACATGCTGCCAATCAAGCTAGGCTGGTGTATGCTCAGGAACTTATATTGATATACAGTGGGAAGGATCATCCACTATAAAACTACTTAGTAACACTCTGTTGACTATCCCATGCAGGTGACTATATATAGTGCACTGTAATCACACCTGATTTGAGTGATGGATTGCTGTCACTCTTCAGCAACAAGGATGAGCATTTAAAATTTGAAATAAGGATTCTGCTGAGCTTACAGGCATTGAGGAAATTATAATTAAAAGTTCAGTTAAGGTAACCTTGCCACTATTGCTTAGATTCTTTTTTAAATTTTTCTATTATATTATTTTAAATAGCTTGTTTTACAATCAAACCCTGTTCCCACCACTCCCCTCCTCCTGCACCCCCCCACAAACCCCCCAGCCTCCCACCCTATTGCCACTCCCTTCCACATAGGGGATATCTAGAGTCTGTCATTTCAGTCAGGGCAGGGGCCAGGCACTCCCATAAGAGTCCAGGCTGAGAGAGCATCCCTCTTTGTGCTATGGAGGCTAAAATGGCCAAGAGACGCTTAAGAAAGTGCTCAACATCCTTAGCAATCAGGCAAATGAAAATCAAAACAACTTTGAGATACCATCTTACTCCTGTCAGAATGGCTAAAATCAAAATCACTGAAGACAATTCATGCTGGAGAGGATGTAGAGAGAGGGGAAAACTCCTCCACATTAGCAGGTATTTTTGATGATGGGACTTGCAGGAGTTAATATTACAATATTTGATGATCCTCATAAAGTCACATAGTGATCACAAAATTTAATTGATGTTAGTAAGCATAAATCTTTAAAGCTATATTATGTTAATATGGAAATACCTACCTCACTGCTCAAATTTTTAAGATGTTGGACTCCTAGTTTAAATTTCAAATAATTGTTCCTCTTATTTACACATATTTGTTAACTTCTGATCTAATGTTTAACCATAAATATTATTTTCTTTTCTGGCTTCATAAATAAGTGATCACTGAGAGACACTGAGTTAGACAACGATAATTCACTACTGATCACTAACTGCAGACACCCTGCTGTGTCAAATGTAAATGAAAGCATCAAAGACAAACTCTAGGTCTCAGAAGCATGGTCTTAGCCACTAAACTCATTCGTAACAATAATGTTTTCAATTTGTATACATTTTGTCTCACATGGCTTTCTTTAGGCACTTTAGTCTTACTGGTGTTTTGTCTATATCCATTGTTGTTTTTTTATGATTTTGTGTGTGTGAGTGAGTGTGTGTGTGTGTGTGGTGTTATTTTCTTTGTGTATTTCTTATTCTCTTGTCTGCTTGTTTTCAAAAGAGAAAAAATAGAAGATGTAGTGTTGGACTGGAGGACATATGAAAAGGAGTCTTGGAAATATTTTATGAGAAGAAACTATGATCAGAATATATTTTCTGAAAATCAATTTTTAGTCAAAAAAGAAAAGAGTAATCAATCATTTTTCCTATGACATCAAGATAGATTGCTTAATTTTGTGTCAGTACATGTATTGAAGGAAAATATTCAGTCTAGTACACAGCTTCTTAACAAAGATCCATCACCATTACTTCAAGAAAGTTCATAATCTCCTTTCATTAGTGCATGCCATAATTGTCAATAAACAAGCACCTTATCCTCTGATTTTCTGGTGTGAATAGAATAGCCTAAGTACAGTAGAACAGAAATTCATGACTTATAATGAATGGCAGGATCTGGATCACTGGCATGTGATCTTCCGGTAAGCAGTACATCTGCACTTCTTCAATCATGATAGTTCTGTATCATTACTTCTATCATCAACAGACAATATTCATGATGATCTCCATTCACATGTAAAGAAAATGAACTTCCATCCAGGCCTTGATTCTGAATGCAAATATTTTTCTGCCTAACATTGCATGGGTGATAATTATTTTGCCTTTTCTATACAATCCTATTTGTCTGCCCCTGAAAGATTTTCATCTACTTTGACCATCATCTCTATGTACCTTGAATGGGTAATTTTCTCAACTATTGTTAGTGTGATTTCTGCATATAATAACTGAGCATTTCTTGAATGGTACCCTTCTCATTACATGTCCTCTGTCCCAAAAAATTAATCTGTAACACTAAGCACTTTCATGCTATGTTCCTTCATATCACTCTGAAACTCTCCTGTGGCTGCAACTTCCTACAGTTTCCATCACCATTCCTGCATAGTTGTCTATTCACTTAATTTATAAGCCAAAAAGACAATCAAAATCTCAAATATGAAAATTTAGCAGGATATTAATTTAATACTGAATTAAGTAATGTATATAAATGTCATGCTAATGACTCGGTGTGTGTGAAAAGTCCATTATTAGGACCATTTTTACCCTGTCTTGGAATTAAAACATCACAGTTCTATCTGTAAACATCTGGCTCATTGCAACTATGATAAGTTCAGTTCTGGTTTTATAAAAGTCTCTCATAATTGTACTCATTATGTATACAATCCTCTCTGTGGATAATTAATATCATATAACTAGGAGTGACAATTTTCAGGTAAAATACATGACTTTAAAATTGGAAGATGGCTCAGTTATTTAAAGCACTTGAGCATCAAGTTTTCCAAGTCACCTAAAATTAATAACTTTGATATATAGAACCTACTTACAAAGTGAGTTGGGCAGTGTTAATCTAGGTTTCTATAAGATAAAGCTTCACTGGAAGCTTGCTGGAGAGCTAACATAGAGTACATCTATCCAGTTCGGCAGCAGGAGTAATGGGATCCTTGTCTGTTTACAAGTTAAACTCTGAATTCTGTACATGTTTGAAAATATGCACATGCTCATCTTCATACATAGACACTAAACACTCACTCACAAAAACACACACACACACATGCACACACACGCACACAAAATTAGAAGATATTCTCTTCTCCCTATTCTCAATGGCATTTTTTCTCTTCTTTCTGACAGTTCATTCTATTTCCACATCTTTTTCATTTAGCATCTAATACTGTTAATTAAGATTGCTTGTGCAAACATGGCAAGTGATATATTTACTTAAGCAGGAGTACTTTACTAGCACCTATACCAGAGATGATGATAACTTCCCTTATTCTTAATGATCACAAATTGTCCATGCATTCTCAGTGAGGGGTAGGGCTTTATGATTCCCTTATTCCTAGTTATTTAATTGTGTGTGAGTATTTTCCTTAGGCAGGACATCCTAGGCTGTATAAAATAGATAAGAAACTGGGAGTTAGCTTCTCTCCTTGTTTTTCTCTTTGTGCCCTGAATGTACACTTATTGTGACCACTTCAGTGTGCTCCTGCAAATGTATTTGCTTCCCATGATGAAATTTGTTCTTTTTAAGATATATTTATTTTATGAGTACAGATGGGTTTTCTCACATATATGCCTGTGTGCCTCATTTATGTCTTGTGCATTAGAAGTTGAGAATGCATCAAGTCCGTTAGTGCTGCTTTAGAGAGTGTTCAGAGCCTCTATATTAGTGCAGAGTATTGAATATATGACCTCTAGAAAAGCAGCCATTACTGTTATCTCAAGAGCTATACTCCAGGGCTTGAAATGTATTCTTAAACTTAAAGCAATAATAAACCTTCCATTGCTTTTGAGAGAGTGTTTTATTACAGCAACAGGAAAATTAACTAGGCTGAGAAGAGAGTAGGATAAATACATGGTAAGAGATGGACCTTGACAGCCTATCATACTGAAGATTCTCCTTTGATGGGACATCTATGCATGAGAATTCTCTCTCATGTCAAATCAAGTTTACTTATCTTGAACATTCAACATCAAAATGACAGTGTATCCACATCTTATTGATGCTACTCTGGATGCATCTCCCAACAGAACATCTGTCACAACCACTCCTGAGTAATATTCTGAACTACTTACTTGTTCTCCAATGAGATGAATAAAACTATGGAAATATGTATTCTCCTTGGAGCTGGGCACATTTTGTGATGACAGCATGAACAAAGTATTTTCATGAGTAATATGAGCATTGCTTATGATGTTTTTCTCTAGTTTTGTAAGGATAGGTTATATGGTGAAAAGACAGAACGTTAAGGATAATATCCTAAAGAGCACTAAGAATATCATGAAATATGTACAATGTACACTGAGCTAAGAAATGAGTTCATGAAACTGGAGTGATTCTTGATATTCAATGACTTTGGTTAAACTAACTTAACAAAGCACTAATGAATGAACACAAGTTTGCTCATGAGGGCATTTAAGTGTTTTTATCTTCACTTCAAGAATAGTACCAGATCAAAAATGATGAGTTAAATGGACACAACTAATGAAAGACGATGTAAAGTAATTTTTTCCAATTATGTAATGGATATTTTGACTTGGGAGTAGGATCCATGAAATATATTTGAAAGTATAAAATTCAATGAAAAGTTCCACTCACTTCCATTCTATTTCTGAAGACGTTTATTGAGTTTTACAGATTCGTTTCTGACTAATTTTGATGTGCATTCTAATTTTTCAGTAAAACTACTATGATAAAGTTTACAATTTTCTTTTTAAGTGCACATGATGGTATAAGGTTTCTTTAAATTTTAAGGATCATATAACAAGGTCAGTCACCTCACTTAACAGGAATTTACCAAAGAACAAGTATGAAGATGAACAAGTCTGATACATACAACACATCACTTATATATTCCTACACTGAGTCTTTTCTTTGACCCATAGAAAGAAACATGCTATATGAAGAACAATCTGTTGTTTCTCCTGCAGTTTTGAATACCTAATCATTCTCAAGCTTTTGATGACTCCATAAGATGAGCTCAGCCAATCCTGAAAATATCTTCACCACCCTAACACATCATTGCTGATTTGCATATGGACAGATGACAGCCCACCACTATGAGTATTTCTTCAGAGGGTGTGGACTGCATGTGTGGAAGTCATTCTCAGTGAAGATACAGCATCAACATGGTGCTCCTATCTGAGCTCCTTATAGTGCTGCTGTTCTGGTTTGCAGGTAAGGAAGACAGACATGGGGGAACAGTGTGGTGAGTACTGCTTTGCTGTTTATGGAAGTTATCCCATAATATGGTTAACACTATATGTTTGTTGTATGTTTCCAAACTCAGGTGCAAAATGTGATATCCAGATGACTCAGTCTCCATCCACTTTGTCTGCATCTCTGGGAGAAAGTGTCACCATCACTTGTCATGCCAGCCAGAACATTAATAGTTGGTTAGCATGGCACCAACAGAAACCAGGGGATGCTCCTAAACTCTTAATCTATAAGACTTCCAAGTTGCATAAAGACATACTACCGAAGTTCAGTGGCAGTGGATCTGGAACAGACTACTCTCTCACCATTAGTAACTTGCAGGCTGAAGATGTTGCCACTTATTATTGTCAACAGGATCTTAGTGTTCCTCTCACAGTGATACAAGTCATAACACAAACCTCCTAGGGGTGCATTGAAGCAAGACTGAGTGCCTCAGCTGCTTGTTGTAGTGCCTGCACCTGCAAACTTTTTGTTGCAAGAATTGGCTGGGCTTTGTAGGTCTTTGGGAGGATTGCAGAGAACTGCCAGTGTGGCTCTTTTATTTTTAACTCTCTTCCTCTCAGGCCCAAGAGCACAGACATGACAGTATATCTTATAAATCACTTAGAAGTGGTTACTTTTATGTTTAAGTGATCCAAATATTTCACTCGCTGTGACTTATATAGCAACAAGCTCCTTCTAATTATACCTCCAGGAAGACTATTGTAATTTATGGAACTACTGTCTTTATAACAGAATCTCATGGTCTGTGTCATGCTATGATTTGATGCTGCAATATCTAATAAAGCTTACATTGTAAATACTTGGCTCCAGTTTTGTATAATTTTATGGTAGTTTCTAGAATTCTTAGTTGTGTGTGCTCAAACTGGATGAGGTAGTTCAATGGAGAGACACTTTGGCATTTATTATCTCTTGCAGTTTCAAAATGAGCTCTTCTTTCATATCCACCATGGTGCTAATGGAGTGACTCCAAATGCCTTCCCTCTATTTCTGTCCTGAAAGCTCTGAAATGCCGACAGAAAAAAAAATCTGTGATTTTTAAATTGATTCTATCAGGAATTTTCATCATGATATTACAAAGGTTACTAACATGAGGAGTCTACTATTTCATGAAGTACATATTAGGATTAGGTTATTCTTAGTGTTTATTTACAGTACACTGATACACAGCATTCTTTCTCCAAAAAGCACAAGAATGGGTTTTCAATACTGTTTGTTCCTGGAAACAGAACAATGGTGACTTTCCAGATCTTGCCCTATCAACCCATAGAGAAACATACATGTGATAAAAACATTCAAGCTGTGTAATAGAGCTGTAATTGAGGAAATTATAGGAAACATTGCGTGGAAAAGTGCAGTATTGAAAGTACTTGTAGTGCAGAGAATTGTCATATGGTGATTTTTTAACAAAATAAAGATTTTAGTAATTTGCATAGTGAGAAGAAAAAGAAGAATAACATTGATGTAATTGCAGTCTTTAAATCAGATTGAAACTTGTTGGTATACGGACTATTTTGGACAATAAGTTGATTCTCTAGTATGATTTTCCATAGTATTGATCAATTAGTGGCCTTTCAATGAAAATTATGATCAAAGAGAAAGTAATATCAATCAGCAACTACATGAGATACAAGGATAAATGTAAGAATGATAGAATCAACATTGTCACTCCATTGCAATGTGGGAACAATTTTCTGGAGCACATACATTTTCAGCTACTTTGTGTTTTCACTGATATGAGAATTTGCACATCTGGTCTCCTAACCAGCAACTATCTTACATTTAGAAGCAACTTGGCTGAGCATTTAATTCGTCTTACATAATCCAGTAAACATATAATACACAGAATGTCGATTCCACATTTCTGTGTCAAAGTTTCTTTTCATATGTCAAGTGACTTCAATTAGATATATCAGCCTAATTAATGAGGCAATCAAAATTCCTAATATACAAGGAATTTGTGCTTATGAAATGGTGAGTAATATACTGTGAAGCCAGCTTACTTCTGGAAATATACTCAACTGCTGTAGGCTCACACAGTCTACGAGCAGTGGCAGCCATTCTGGCTTTCACTTCCGTGCCTCTCAGTGGATTTTATTCTGACTTGCACTACTGAGTGGGAGATATTCCAATAGTGATGACAGCAATACTTTATAACAGTTTCAGACCCCAGGCTCCTAATAATCAAGCCAATATCAGTTCATTGCCACTGAACTTTAATGGGACCAAATATTCCAGTTTGAATGCACCATGTAGCAGGAACTTAGAAGATTTTTCTGGTTTCTACTTACACAATGTTAGCCAGTTACAGGAGCCATGGCAATAAATACAGCAGATAGCAAATAATACTGAACATGTCAGTCTACCAGATAAATCATTCTCTGATGGGGAGTCCTATTAGGCATGGACAGTGGAATCAAAAATTATGAATACAGTTCATTTCTTTCTATATTTTGTAACATCCTGTGTTGGTAATATGTTTTGCTCATCAGTATATATTTCAATTTGGGGGCATATTTATTTCTGTGCCCAACTGACATGAAGATGATTTCATCTTACATGTGTAATTTTGAAGACAAAAAATATGCTTTCACAGCTGTGACTTTTTTCCATGAAACTTTGAAAGACTTATAAAACTGTTTACCATTGTAGTCACAAAGATAACCTTTTTATGATTAGCGAATTACAGTCTCAAAGTAAGTTCAGATTAGACCAGATACCCCTGAAAATGGGTTGCAAATAAATGCTCCCAAAATGCATGTAAGCATGCAAGGATATGTAGCCTGCTGCAGTCCAGTTTTACAAGGAAAAAGTTGCCAGATATCTGATCTTTTGAACAAAGTTACAGGCACAAAGTAACTATGGCAGTGCCATCTTCTCTCTTGCAAAGTTTGGCTGTTATCTAGGACGTTATTTAACACCCTGAACAAATTCCTCAGCATTATATATTTTCACAACTCCTATTCTCAGTTTTATTCTACAAGACTCAAATTTCTGCCAACTAAACTGTTTATATTGGGTCCTCAAATGTACACAGGTAACAGGAAAGCAATTAACCAAAGTCTAGAAAGAAACAGCTTCCAACCAGCTATATTGTAGCAAAAGAAATTCCAACTAGCTAGGCTTCAGAGGACAATCTGTCTTCATAGCCCTCAGAAAGAGTTGCAAATTTCCGTTTTGTGATCTAGGGTTTCACATATGACAGGAGAATATATGTTAAAGATTTAGGGCACTTTTTATGCCACTGAGGTTTGGAGACTACAGCCTGATGAGTACTGCCTGCAAACCTCTAACCCCTGCACAAATGGGAGTCTCACAGCAGAGATCCTGTGGCTACACCCTCACAGCAGCACAGTGGCTACAGCCTGTGTTTCTGACAGAACAACTTTCTGTCTCTCTGTAAACATTTCAATCTAATAGAAAGTGGTACTTTTTGAGATTGGTAATAAAAATGTTAATTTAAAATTATTATATTGTATAGAATATATTGCACAGTCTCTCACTTTTTAGACTCCCCATTAGGTTAGCTTTATAATTCCCCTAATATCCTTTATAGTCTATCTCCTTAGTAAGAAAAAAAGAATGGCTGATCTTACTTTACAGCTGTGGCTGCCCCACTAATTAGGAAACTGAAAGTGTGTGTTATCCAGATGGCTGTGATTTTGATCCTTTACACAAGAAATTAAATACCGTTGTATAAAGATAAAATAGACTTGAATTCCACAGGAGAAAAGAAAATGACCATTAGAATACAAGTGTTCCTTTTGCTAACCACTCAGATAGAAGTCAAGTTTCTCCCAACACCATGGATGTTTTGCAAACCCTGTGTGCTGCCTTGCAGTTGGTTCTCTGAGAATGCAATAGACCAGCAAGCAATGGTTGCTTTTTCCTCCAGATTTGCAGAAAAGAAGAGTGGAGTCAGGGATATGTGGATGTTACATACGAAAACAGACTCTAAAGATACAAATCAAATACCCACAGGATAAAACATGTTAAATAAGAAATTAATCGAACTACCACACATTATCTACAGTAATGAGAAGTAATTTTATATTATTCTTTTGTTTAACCTAGGCAGAGCAGCAGGAAACCATGTAACTGAGTAAAGGTCTCATGTCCATTTTCCCACTGCAACTGACAGCTCTCAATGTATGCCCAGACTTTGAAGATGTCCTCATGACTAAGGGATGTTCTATGGATCATGCAAATCATCAGCAGATTGTCAGGGCTCAGTACAGTTGCAGAACTCAATCACCTTAATAATAATTCCATTCTAGTGTCTGCAGGTGACCCAGACTAAATATGCAATGCCCATGTTTTTCTGAAAAAGCAAAATGTTAATCACGGATCTTAAGCGGAGCATGGAGTTTTGAATAACTCCAGGCTCATTTCATGCTTTATTTGCTACTGTTTCATTAGGATAGGGACATCCAACACATAACTATCTCAGAAGACCAAGGACATTCCCAAGGATTTTTTTTAAATGTTGACTTACGGTCGTCTTTGCCCCATTTAATTTAATATTTGTTAGGGAATAGAAGGTCAACAACAAAATGTCACAACCTGGGGAGAATATTTCTCCATCAATGGAAAATGACCTGAGGTTTCTTACAACATATCTCTCATGCTTTGCCTTCATCTTGTGAATTGGACCCCTTCCTTGTCATCAGTCCCTATGATTGACAGCTTTCTTCCATCTCCTGTTGTTCTTTCTCCTTAATCATCAAGAAGGAATGCCAGTGTACTGTGTTCCCCAGGCCCAGCATCATTTTTCTATCTGGTTCAAAATTTGCTACTATCTCCATCTCATATTAATTTTCATCATATTTCTATTTGTTGAGACATAGCAAAATAATCATGTCTGGTGAAAGATATTCTGAAATTTGTAGATGGAGTTTCTGAAATCACAGAACAAAGAATCTGTCACAGTTTTCCTTGAGTCAACATATGACCTTCTGCTTTGCTTCCCACAGATAGAGTCTATAGTATGTTTCAGATATTTATCATCAGTAAGTTCTGGAAATTGGCTGATCTATTAATATTTAGTATGAGCTCATTGACATTTATTCATATGTTATCTGACCTTCCTTTTCTATCAATTGGCTGCTAATATGCACATTCCCATGATAAAATGTAAATAATATTATTTCTACAGATATAAATAAGGGATACCCTGTTGAATTTGGGTAGACAATTTCCCACCACTGGAATGGCTTGATTATCAGTGTGCTGCACTAGAGTTTGCTCAGACAAGATGATTTCTAATAATTACCACTCAAATTGTAATATACTCTATGTGCTTGTGAGTATATTTAAATTTTGTTGCAATTCTGAATCCCAGGAGCTTGCTAAGTTTCTGTCCCTCTCTTTGGCTTGATGATGCAGTTTAAATCACACAAAGTCTCTTGTGTCTGTGCTTTTTTTGTTCTATTTCTACCTTGGTGCCTACCTCTGTTGTCTGAATCAGGTTTGTAAGAATTCAGATGGGTTTTAGGTAAAGCTAGTAACATTTTTATGCTGTTCTTCTTTATTAAAAAGAAGGCTGCTAAGAAACCAAGATCATCTCCCTAGGAAAAAGGCTTTGATAAAATCCAACACCCCTTCATGATAAAGGTCTTGGAGAGATCTGGGATAACAGGAACATACCTAAACAAGTGAAAGACCTGTGTCACAAGAACTTTGAGCCTTTAAAGAAAGAAATTAATAAAGGTATTCACTAACTCCACATCTGACAGAGGGCTGATTTCCAAAAATTCACAAAGAAGCCAAGAAGCAAGTCTCAAAAACACCAAATTATCCA